CTCTTACGTATCACATAAAAGCAACACCACTCTTATGTATCAAACAAAGTATCTCACCTCTGATATAACAACAACAAGGCATCTCACCTTTTATATCAACAACAAGATATCTCACCTTTTATATAACAACCAGGTTTCACACCATTATGCATCAAACAAATCATATACACATAACATACATTATATCACATCTCCATGCAATATACACCACCTATAAAAATCTTACTCCCTTATAGTATGGTAGAACATACAAGGGATAAATCTCAAGGTTTGAAAATTTACCTCCAATAGAATTTCTTTCCAAGTTCCCTTTGTAATCAAAATGCCAACAATACCAAGTCCTCATTAGTTTTTCCTATTGGTACCACCTATTACAAGGTGAAAATGCAATCAATCCATTATTCACATTACATATCAATGCAAAGCTAACGAGAACAACATTGTCAAACTCAAACTTGATGACTTACCCTAATCTTGATTCATCCAAGATTCAAGATCATGCTCCATTGCTTGATCCAAGGGTTGGTTATCTACCAAAAGCTCACTTGATTTAACCCTTTAAACCAAATGAACACAACCATCATTCATGAATAACAAGAATTCATAAATTTTCCAAAAACCTAAGTTTTAAAAGTCTGCTAAATGATGGTTTCATCCATTTTCCACCATTAAATATCATTCCTCAACATTTCTTCCAAAGGCATTAATGTTTATTTCAACTAAAGAACTCACCATATTTCAAATTTTCTGAAGGAAACCTATATTACTCATACTTCATGAAAGCTTAAGAAATGAGATAGTTCCTTACCTCAAGACTCCACACAATAGTGCAAAGAGCAGTCTCCAAACTTCAAGAAGACCATACAATCCTCCAAGCTCAAGAACTCAATAACGGTGCCACTTTCACTTGGAGTTTTTACTCAAGGCTTCCCTAGCTTATTTGTTTGATGGGCTTTACTCTAAATGAGGAGGGGATCAACTTTCATGACAAACACAAGTCATTTTGGTGACTAGAACTCAAGTCAGTTTTTCTTGTGGAGCGACAATGGTGAGGCAATTTTGGGGGGAAGAAGGCCAACGAAAGTGATGATGAAACTTAGAAAAATATCTTGCTCAAGTCTTAAATCAACTTTAGCCAAAAAAGTCAAAGCAACAATTTGATTAATGACTCATTCATCCCTTCATCTAATTAATTCTAATCCTCTTTTTAATCCATGAATTAGACCATATAACATGGTTTTAACATTCACCAAAATATCTTGCTCAAGTCTTAAATCAACTTTAGCCAAAAAAGTCAAATCAACTTTTGCTTAATTGCATTTTTACCCCAAAACTTCTATTATTTGCAATTTTTCCCAAAAGTGACTTTATTTCGCATAATTAGACCTCTTATCTAATTAATCTATCTTAGTCATAATTAAATTCTTAATCAACTTACAAATTCATAATTTAATTATTAGGGTTAGTATATAAACTCTTTAGAATTTTACCACAATAAACATGCATAACACATAGCAGCACAAGGAGGCGTATAAATAAATAAATAAGAACTCCATCCCTGTTTCCTAACTATAGCACATAAATGCTGAACTGTTATGGATTAAGAGTTAGGTATGTATCCCTTAAGGGATGTAGTATGTCAATATGAAGGTGCTCAAAGAAGCGATGGCATAGACCAAAGCTCAAGGATAGTCATCGCAAATGCTATCGCACAGATGGTTGTGAAGAGGGGGTGATGTGTAGGCTACAGTGGCTTTAAAATCTAACAGAGTAACAACTTATAAATGTGATATAATCAGGTGTCTCTTCTATTAGAGAGGAGGAGTTTATATAGGGGAGTGAATATTCCTTAATAATGAGAGAGAGAGACAAAAAGAAAAAGTGAGCCAAATCCATTAGTCATTACCTCCATTATTGCAGCGAATCGTTGTCTCACCATTGTGTGTGCACGATGGTGAACTGTGCAAAGAGAGGGGAATCACATGTGGTGAGACTCCAATGCTTACCCATGGGGTATCATCTAGAAGGGCCTCATTGGGCCTTTTGATATTTGGCCCATCGAGCTGGACCTTTGTAAGCTGGTCAGAACAAATGCCTTCTTATTTATCTGTCTCTCACCAAATAAATTCCCAATCCTGACTTTATTTTCTCTCACTAATTTCAATCTATAATTTTTTTATTTAATTAATGTGTATTGTGGGTTGAAACATTATTATGTTCATTGTACTGCTTTTTCCTTTATTGTTTAGTTGTTGTAATTTTATTATGTAGTGGGGTTTTAATTATTTCAATTTTAGGGTGATTTAAAAAAAAAAACACTAAAAACAGGTTGATTTTATGCAATTTTGCTTAGTTTTAAATGAAATAATATTTTAGGCTCTTTATTTTTTCAAACCCTAGTCTCAATATTTTTTTCAGCAGCATACTTTAATCTTTTTCTCTCATTATTCCTCTTCTCCAATTTTAAACCCTCCATCTAAATGCATTGCCTTCATCTCCGAGAGATCGCCTTTTATCAATCTCCCTCCATACCTTTCATAAAATTCACCCATCCTTTATATTGTTTGTTCTCTCACTCCCTCCTCCTTTTATTTCTCTCTTGTTTCATATTCGTGTATTTTAATTTGGCATATTATTTCTTACTAATGGTTCATTTTTGGCTTTTTGAAGATTGTCAAACTAGACTTACATTATGAAGATTGATTACCAGTCTCATTTCCTTTCTTCATTTGGTTGGAGCTCATTTGTTAGGCAAGCTACGGTTCTTTTTCTCTTATTTTTTCTCACTTTCCTTTGTTTGTTAAAAGGGTCCATGTTGTTATCAAAAAAAAAAAAAAAAGGGTCCATGTTTCTCGTGAAAATCCTTTTGAAATCCAGATTCATTAACTTAGCTTCATATTGTTTGTTTGTTTTTTTTTTTTTTTTTTGGGTTTTGTTCTATGCTGATCGAATAAATCAGTTGAGAATTAAAAGGTCAATGTCATTTTGACTCGTAAGTATTTCATGCTGCCTTTGCTTTTAATGATTATTCAATCTCATTAAAAGTTGAGGGAGTGGAATACATGGCTAACTTTATTGGATGATTTAGGGCCTGTATAATTCTATTTTGAAGCAAATACGGTAATGATTTTATGTATTGCTGAATCATCAATTAGATGTTATATTTAATTTCTATGCACTTTAGATTTTCAAATTCATATCGTTGAAGGCATAACTAAGGACAAATGGCTGATCAAGTTGGATTAGATTATGTAGGTTTTTAATTTGTAAGTTTGAGAACGAAAAAATAATGACAATCTTTTGTCGTCACTTATTATTATTATTTTTTATCTCATTATTTCCCTTTTTCCTCCTTCGAATGGCAAATAAGCCTATAAGGCCTCATAACCTTTTATTTTTAAAATTAGGACCGATCATGTCAATAATTTAATATTGGTAAGACTAATAGGCTGTGGAAAACTCAATATTTTAGATATGTCTAGATTCAATAGACCAAAAAAAAAAAACCTGACTTAACATATTTACATCGGGAATGGATGTTTTTACGTCAAAATTTTACATTAAAATTTTTGTATTTATTTCTCTCTTCATTAATGATAATTGAATTATACCTATTTAATTCATGTAAATAGAGAGATAAACAATTTTTTTTATATGAGCAGATCTTATAAAATTTTAACATGAGATAATCCACTCCCATTTATACCCTAGCTTTAACGGATAAGAATAAATGTTCTCTTTCTTTTGTTTGGTTTTATAAATAAAAAGAATAAAATTGCATGTAAATGAATAAAAATTATTTCTTTTTCCTTTTTTTCTTTTCATTTTGAAAGAGAAAAGATGAGAAATGACAATAGCTATAAAAATAGAAGAATGTTATACTTACAACATTTTTCTTTTACAACCCCTTACAATCATATCTTAACATCGTTGATTTCCGCCAATCAACGGTTATGATTTTCACAAATTAAATTCATTAATTAATTATTAATTCACAATAAATGATAACCGTTGATTTACGAAAATCAACGGTGTTAAGATATGGTTGTAAAAAAAAATTGTAAGTATAATCTTCCTCATAAAATAAGGACTTTTTTTTTGGTAAAGTAAAATAAGGATTTTATATCTCTCTTGTGGTAGAGAGAGATTTCAACTTTCTAGCACACACACTTAATGATGGGACCCATATTAAAGAAATAAAAATAAAACACGCCATTTGATATTTCGGTGGAGGAGATCAAGACTTTTCTGTTACATGAGAAGTCTTTTTCCTTAAAAGTAATGTTGCTAAATTTTTTTTTCCATGCATTACAAATAAAGGGATGAAATTTATCTCCAAAATCATTTTATTTCCTTTACACCCTTAAAAGCTTACTAAACAAAGCTTTTAAAAGCTTACTAAACAAAGCTTTAAAGTAGACTTCACGAGTAGTTTTTAATTTTTGGGAAAAGTGTGTATAATTTTAAAGGATGTAAAGTTGTGTCATTTTAAGAGAGAGAAAGAGATAGATAAAGGAGGAGAGAGAGTTGACAAAAAAAAATAAAAGTGTGGGTCTCACCTCTTTGTGAGAGTGAAAGGATGTAAGTTGTGTAATTTTAAATGATAGACACTTTTCCCTTAATTTTTATTGGGATCCCCACTCTTCCCACTTTCTTTATTTAAATAATTTTCTTACCCTCCGTAGGAGCAAACTTTTGATACCATCATCGCATGTGCGACTTTCATTCAAATTTTACCACTTAGATTTTTTTTCTTTTTTCTTTTTTTTATCTCACTTTCACATTCTATCTCCATTTTTAATTGGTGTTCCCCACTGAAAAAATAGTACTCATTTTTCATTTATTCATCCTGAAATACAAGTTTTTTTTTTTTTTTTTCCTTCTTGGATTAGAAAAATTGTAAATCACAAAAGAAAGAGTGGGCTGAAACATTATGGGCCCTTTGGTCCATAAATAAAAGGGGCCATTGGTAATTGTGGAGATCTTCAGCCTTTGCCATTTCTCTCTCTGCCCTCATTTTCTTTCTTTATTCCCATACTCGCATTCGTCTCCTTCCATTAACCAGATTCTCCTTTCTCTCGGTGTGCCTCTTTGCTCTTCGTTCTCAACAAATTTCGATTTTTTTGATCAGATCCGCAACACCCACCTCACGAAAACCTCTGCTAACCCATCCATGACGCTTGGCTCAGGAGGATCCAGTGTCGTGGGTGAGCTCCTAACCAATCTCATTCTTCTTCTCAACGCTTTTCGCCGACGTCGTTTTGTTTTCCCTAGTTTTTTTTTTCTTTTGGGAATTTTTTTTTCTGGGTCCATAGATTTTGTTCTTTGATTGTTGCCGTTGACCTAAAGCATTCTATGCACGCTTTTTTTAATTTATTTACTTGAAATTATTCATTTGTTTATTTTTATTTTGGGGGGTTTTCTGTTTGTTCCATTTTATCCCCGTGGAATTATGGATCGATGACTGCAGTTTCCTACCGTGATTTTTTGGTTTATGAATTTTTGATGAATAATGGTTTTGGGTATTTTATGAGTGCGTTTTATTGAAATATTAATTTTTTTCCTTGAGTTTATTATTATTAATCATGGCTAACTCGGGAAGGTTTTTGCAGTTTTTGTGGATTGGTATGTTTCTCTGAAATGTGTATATTTCATTATTGCTATTTTTAATGGTAATTCGTTGGTATGATTTTTCTGCTGAAACCATGATTCTGTATGATATTTGTTAAACTTTATGCGTTGAAATTTAAGCCTACACGAGGACAAGTGTGTTTTGACTCTGAAGTGATACATATTTTTTGAATTTAATTCGTGGATGGATGGTGATGCGTTTAAGTGATAGTCACTCCTTGTTACAAGAAAATGGTAGTGATACACATATTTGTGCCAAAAGCATTCTTATATCGAGCCTGTTGAGTTAAATACTCAATGTGTCCTATAAGAAAATGCATGGATGTTGAAGTCCGAAGAGATTTAAGTTGAACATATATCTGTTAGTACAAAGGAAGAAAATAAAATCGTTGTCACCTGATGTATTTTTATATTAGCACTTCTGATGGTCCTTGTTGCCAGCTAATGTTTTGTTTATGACATACTTTTATCCTAAAAGACAATGCAAATCAAATACAAAAAAAAAGAAAAAAAAAAGAGAATGCAAATCTGAAGTTCATTCTAATTTCTAGGTGCCTCTATCTGTTGTATTAGCCAATCATGCCCTTATAATTCTTGGATAAGGATTTTAAACGTTTAAAAAATGAAATTAAGGTTCAATATGGTAACACTTGTTCTGGTCCTTATCTTTAGGACTTTGAATTGGCACGGCTAAAATTTAGAGAAAGGATTGTACTAATATATGTAGCCGTTGTTGACATGCATGAACTGTACAATGGCTACTTACATGGCGTTCTTCAAATAAAAAACGGTTATTTTTAACTCATTTTAAAATTGTTAGTGTGTGTTGTTAAATGTATTTACACTTCAATGTAGTTCCAAGGAACTTCAGATTGCTGGAGGAACTTGAACGGGGAGAAAAAGGGATTGGGGATGGCACAGTTAGCTATGGAATGGATGATGGTGATGACATTTACATGCGCTCATGGACTGGCACCGTTATTGGCCCCCATAATGTAAATACTTCTGTTACTGCTCTACATTCATTTTTATGTATTAACATCAACATCACCTTTATCCCAAACTATAGTTCATTTTTATTTATGTCTGTGTGAAATCAGCTTTTTTTATCTTAACAAGTAAATTCACATGCAGCAACTGGCTTAATTTATCAGAACCAGTATATGTGTGGAAGCTAGACATTCTAAAAGGGAAGTCCGTACCTTCTGCTCATGGCAACAGAGCATGTCACGTTATGTTTTGTCTAACATACTCGTCTGTGTACATTACTATGGTTTTCAAGTTCTTGTCCAGATTTAAAGAATTTAGTAGATGCTCGAGAGCATAAACTTCTATGTATTTGTACACACACAGAGTCTATCATTCTACAACTGTAGTGAGCATAATATTGAGAGATATTTGATTATAAATAGAAGTGTTATTACAATTCTGTAATTTTTCTTATGGTTATAATGGATTATTTTTTGGATTTCTTTAATATAGAATATATATGCCTTTTCAATTGTCTGTTGGATCATTTGCATGACTTGTTGATGTAGCATATTTGCTCCCCTGGTAAAGAAGAGTGAGTGGAGTATGAATTATTGGTCTATCATGAAATTTGAAAGTATGGCCTAATTATATCTTTTCTGTACAATGTACTTGCTTTCGTTTTGTGTGTAGTTAACAGGCTTCTTGCTGGTCCTATAATTGTGTTCTTTCTCTTTTACTTTTTCTCTGTCAGACTGTACATGAAGGAAGAATTTATCAACTGAAGCTGTTTTGTGATAAAGACTACCCAGAAAAGCCCCCAAGTGTTCGGTTTCATTCACGGATCAATATGACTTGTGTTAATCATGAAACTGGAGTGGTATTATTTATAATTTTTCACCATCTAAATTTTTGTGTGCAGTTAATGTTGTTGTCAGTTATATTAACTGTGCTAACTGTAGTTTCTCCTTTGATTTTTAAATTGGTGATAAATTTGAGTCGTATGTCAGGGATGTAATCAAGATTGATGTGGGTTTTTGGGAAGGGAATAATGTAATATATATTTCATTCTTTCTTTATGCTAAAGTACAGGGTTGCCTCCTCACCATCCCATCACATTTCTTATAATTATGATAACATGAAATCCAGTTCATTTTGCAAACTTCAGAAAAGATTATTTGTGTAGCAAGATTTATAGAGTTGTAAATGAAACAGGTTGAACCAAAGAAATTTGGTCTTCTTGCAAATTGGCAAAGAGAGTACACCATGGAGGATATACTGACCCAGCTGAAGAAGGAAATGGCAGCTCCTCATAACCGGAAGCTTGTCCAGCCTCCAGAAGGTACCTACTTTTAGCATCCAGATCATAGATGTCGGATCATATTGCATTTGCAGTATGCAATATATAGTGTGTAATGCTTTGTGGATCCTTCTGAATTCAAGAACATATAGGGGAATGCCCCAAAAAGCTTCATATTTCCATCTCCATGACTTCAGAATTGTTTTGTTGTCTTTGTCAACTGTGCTGAAGGGATGCTGTTTAATTAATGTGTGTCAAATATTGAAAGCAACTCTTTAAGTAGTATTTTCCCTTCTAATTACATAGTTGCTTTCAATTTTATTCTTGCTTCGTTTTGCTTTACTTTATTTCTGCCTTGTAATTAAGCCTGAGCTAAATGGAAAAGTGGCAACAACCTTTTGGATGTGTGCCATGTCTTTGGGTTTGGTGCTTGTTTAGTTCCTTGGGTATCAATTCGGCTCCTCGTTTTTATTCCGGAGCAAATATAAACCAACGTGGCCAGACATGACTTTATTTTTTCTCTCCGATCCTTACGGTGGCTGAATCGGTTTTGGAGTTTGAGTTTCTCTATTCTTCCTCGGAGGAATTAAACTCACTACCCTATATGCAGGTTAAATCTGGGATCTAGTTGCATCAGACCAACAAGTTTTGGGTGTGTCAAGTCCTTTGATTTATTTGCTAAAGGGAATGACAGAATTATTTAAGTGATAATATTTCTCAGAGTAAACTATTATCTCAATTCTAGATTATTACTTTAGCTTTCTACAATAGAACGTGATATCTAGTCTCTTAATTGTATTTAGTCTCCTAAATATTTATATAATTTTTTTAGGCTTTGATATAAATTATTTGACTTTCACCGAATTGAACTAGTGGATTGTTCAATATTTTTTAAACCGCACTAAAAAGATAAAACGGTCAATATACACGAAATTGTTGGAAGATAACATAAATAGTAAAAAAAATTACATCTATTTTCTAAGTAATCATATTTGAACAACTTATATAGTTAGGAAAATATGGTTGCAAATTAATAAACAGATTTCATCATAAATTCCGATTCCGCGGTATACGAAGCAGTAGTTTGCCTTTGTTGTGTAGCTTTAGCTTGAGTTTTGGAGAAGAGGCACAAAACTATATTACCACTTGATCACTCTAGTCTAACATAGGATGAGTTAAAACACACACAAGGTTGTGGGCCTCAAGGTTGTTGTAAGATAGTCTGACGTTATGGTGGGATGGGCTTCTCCTTGAAGTGTCTATGTTGTAATTTTGGCGCAATGGAGTGACTGGGTGTGGTACCTGTAAAGACACTTCCACGCTTAAGTCAATATCAATGAAAGCTGTGTATTGTTCGTAATGGAGAGAGATGTGTATACGTGGGCTTGTATCCTCTATATTTATAGTGCATTATGTGCTGTCTTTTTTGGGCGGCATCTCTTCTTATTGGTTATTTAGGGTGACTGTTCTTCTGTCAAAGTCGTTACCTTTTAAGTTATTCCTTGATGAACAAGTCTAAATGCTAGTCTGTCTCTTTAGAGTAGTGGCAAGTTGGAGCTGTCTCATTTATACTAACTTTTATGCGCGACCGACTTTATCAAATAACTATAGTCTTCCTTAGTCTTTAAGTTTTCCCCGCGTTTAGCGCGACAGAATGCGCAATGAGGACATTGCGCCCATTGCCTTTAGGACCTTCCTAGATCTCTAACTATTGAGCCTGTATTTTATCTGGATCAGTAGCTCCCCAGCTTGCGGCAAACATGAGGTGGGAGATGCCTTGACCAACCAAAAGTATATCTCTTGATCCCCTCTGGAATGCGCAACTATTGTCTTCTATGCACTACATTTTCATCGTGCTTTGCTAACCTTCTTCTCTTAAGTACCATCATTGGCCAACCGCTTGAGAACGTTTGATGTGACCTTAACTATCAAAAGCATTAAATGTGATTTCAATTACGTGGAGGTTATGGGTATTAACGTGGGATGATTTAAGTTAATCTGTTCATCTTCCCCACACATGCCTCTTTATTACCGTTTTACTTAGCATTTTTCTTACTCAAATGACCCTCTGTGATTTTTCATATTTGTACCGCATCTCATTTGTGTATGGAAACCTTATTGAGCAAGAACCTTCTTCCGAACTTCATCTTCCATATTGTGAATCTCTTTCGTGGACTCGTCCTATTTCGGAATTCTTCAGGAAGCATTTGACCCGTAGTATAAATACTAGGTATGTATGTGCTTTCATTTTTTCTTCTCTTACTGCGTTGGTTCATTATTCCTCTGGATTTTCTGAATCTTTTCTAGTTTTTTCAAGGTGAGGGGAATATTTCGTTTGATTTTTCAAATAAAATGTCTGACAAACACTCTTACACTACTTTTTTTAGAATGGCTGAGAGGTCAGAGTCAACAAGTCCCCCTCCGAGAGCATTTTCTAAGTCTAAATCCCTTAGAACTTGAGAATGGTGGCTAAAGAGTGAAGGAATTTCACCCTGGGAAAAAGCTGAGCTTGAGGGAAGCTTCCCTCCAACGCTATGGGGATATGAAGGAGGATTTTTTTAAATAGAATGTCTGACAAACACCTCTACATTACCTTTTTTAGAATGGCTAAGAGATCAGACTCGACGAGTCCCCCTCCGAGAGCATTTTCTAGGTCTAAATCCCTTAGAACCGGAGAATGGTGGCTAACGGGTGAAAGGATTTCACTCTGGGAAAAGGCTGACTTTGAGGGAAGCTTCCCTCCAACGCTACGGGGATATGAAGGAGGATCCTCCTCACGGGGGCCCAGGCATGGTGTAAAAGGATTTCGTGGGACATTAAGAACCTCATCTCAACAGAGTTCAATGGAGGATTTGTCGCCACGTAACCCTAAAAACCCTATTTCTATTTCAAGTGATTCCAACCCTAGCCTAATGTCCATTCCGCGTGAACCAATTCCAAAACCAACTCTTGATCCCACACATTCTTCGCCCAACTATCCTACTTCAAACCGCAGTCTTAGCCCCATTCCCTTTAGCGTTGTATACCCTATGGGGTATCCTTTTAAAAAGCGCAAACTTGAGGAGATACCTAAGAGTTCTTTTTCCAGTTCTTCCTCTTCCGATACCTCTGATTCTTCTTCATTTAACACATGTTTCATTTCTTTGGATATCAAGGATATTATGGTTAAGTGCAATGTTTTTGGTGCAAGCACTTTCGGTTTGTGAGATGCATCCAGCTTAGATTGAGTTTTGGACGACGTGAAGAAAATAATATTTTATTATAGTTCTACTAAAAACTTGGCCCAACTTAATGATGCTATCCATTTGACCAAAGATACGAGTTCTGATGATAATTGGAAATTATCTGTCGTCCCTAAAGATGAGAACATTTGCTCGTGCAGATGAGCAATCTAAACATTTTCTTACGATGTACAGTTACTATTTCCTGTCTTTTGGCGTTCACATTTCTTTCTTTCCTTTTGTTATGAAATTACTGCAACACATTCAAATGGCGCCATCTCAACTACATCCAAATGCCTGGGGATTTATTCGAGTATATGAGATGGTTTGTACAACCTTTGGCCTATTCATGTCGCCTGAATGCTTCCTGTGTTTGTTCAGCGTTTTTTCGGTTCTCGCAAAAGCTGGGTATCATTTAGACAGAATTCCTACCACAAATTTTGCGAAGTGTATCTTAGAAGAATTCACAGCTGGAACGCTGACTACAAAATTTATCCTGCAAGGGATCACCATCTTTTCTATTTGAGTGAGGAAGACAATTCTCCTCTCTTCCCTTTGTATTGGACCAAATACCATCTAACGAATATAAGCTTAATTATACTTTTGATGACTTAATGACTACGAGAGAGCGACAGTCACTACCTTGTGTGATATTGCGCATAAGGCATCAGACATTGGCTTGCTGAGTGCTTATACTATTTTGAACGAGTATACAAAAGAGGATGTTAAAGTATTCCTTGGTAAATGCTTTGCGCCATCGCACACTTTATTGATTTTGGCTTTCGTGCGTTTATTCTTTATTGCCTCTAAATCAAATTATGTACCTTATTTTGCAGATAGCACAATGTCTCGTAGACTGAAGAAAATTGAGATGGTTGCAAAGAAAAAGGGCGAGGGATTATCTGACATTTCTGGCACAAATCAACCTGCTTTTGCTCACCCCTCTTACCGTTGGACAATCTAGCCAAGGTGTGTCGCGCTTTACTTCTTCTAATCCTAAAATGCCATAAACTATTGAAGCTTCGCCATTCAAGGAAAAAAGCGAACAAAAAGATGCTTTTCATAAAGAAAAAGACGAGAGTCAAAAAGAGGAAAACAGATGATTCCACATTGTCCTTTGGAGATACTACACGATGAGGGCGTGACTAGGGCATACCACAAGATCTTTTTGCCAAAGGGGGGATCAAGGGAAAGAGATCAGTCATTTGATTGAGGACATGCTTGAAAAAATAGATGTCAAGGAACAACATTTGATGTCCTTAACATGTACTATGCTACACTCGTAATGTGTGCCTTACTACTTTTGATAAAGAGCTACTTTATAAAGTTCTTTGACAGGTACTGTGTCCTATTTGAAATCTCGTATTGTTGCCCTGAACGAAGTTATAACAGAGAAAGATACCTAAATGGAAGCGCTTGATAAAACCAAGAAAAATGCGAAAGAGGGGAGGACAAATGTGGTCAAAGATCTTGTAGAATTAAAAGTAAATTATGCAACATTGAAAACGAAAAAGGATGGCCTTTCAAACCAAGTCAAAAGAGTTGGAGAAAATTGTCAACACCCTCAGACAAGAGAATGAAACTTTAGCAACTGATGTCGCGAAATATTAGCAACTTTTTGAGGAGGAAGTTGTCGGCACTTTTAACAACATTACCAATCAAGTGCGCCTCTTCAACCCTTCAGCTAAGCTAGAAAATGTCCATTATCTGCATTTCATAAAAAATGGGCAACTGATAAAGCTCAATGAGGCAACTGATAAAGCTCGATGAGGCAACTAATGAAGAGGAGCTAGTTGAGCTGATTATCTTGATGGATACTGAACCCCCCTAGCAAATCCAGAAAATGTAACTGCTGGTGATGCAGATATTTAGACTGATGCTGCTGGTGGAAATAAGGCACACGACTTGTCCATACACATAATATAATGTTTTCTCTTTGTATTTTGTAAGTTCGGCTTGTACCGCAAAGACATTATGCCCTTGGTTTTGTAAACACGGTGTGTGCCATGCAAACCTTAACATTTTCATTTGCCTTTAAATATCCTGCACAGTTCAAGTCATTTTATGTATGGAACTTTATTTATTACCTGGTTTTGCAGATTAAGTTTTATCCTTTGCTAACGTGTCGGAAGTTTGAATCCGTCAAGGCTTTAACTCTCTTTTCTTCCTTGCGGATTGGGAACTTGAACCAGTTG